TGATTGCTTCTTTGCCGTGTCTGTGGAGCGAGACTGTACGTCTGAGTTCATTTGTAATTACATTTTATTGCAATGGCGTTTTTCAATCAATTTGTTCAGTCCTTCCTCCAGATATCTACAACAGTTTTCAGGGGGGGGGAAATCATCCTAAAGTCACATTTTGGGTCTTAAACTGCTGCTAGAAAAATGAAAAAAAATCATCATTTTAGATTTTTTTTAGTTTTTTTTTTTTTTAACTGCATCACGATTCAATTAACTGAATGTCATACAGCTCTGTTAAATTAATTATATCACCAAAATGTTAATCACTCAGTTGAATATAATACAAAATATTGCTTCCTTATAAACAGACTGATATATTCCAGACATTAAATTATATTATTTCTCAGACAAAACCCCAAAATTTAGGCTCTCAGAATACTTGGGTATTAGATCAAACCAATAAAGATGATTTTCAATGTGAAATTTGCCCCTATACTGAAAAGTATGTTCATGTGCTGCTCAGTACTTGGTTGGGGCTCCTTTTGCATAAATTACCACATCAATGCAACATGGAACCGAGTGTCCAAAGTATTTGCAGATTTCAGGTCTTTGTAATGCTGGTATTTGCATGTCAAACTAACCTAGCTGTCCACACTTAAAAAACAGCAAAGCTGGGTAGCAACTTTGATCTGGTTGAGGTCAAAATACTATGATGTAGCACGTACTGTTGATACATGGTGGGTGTCAGTATGATTAACATTAGCACTGTAGCATCTTTAGACTTCTGCTAAACATTTTGCTGGTTTAGCATTAGCAGAACTAACGCTGAGTGCTTTTGAGTTAGCCACTAACATTTTAGCTAGCAGTTCCCACCACTGCAAAAACAGAGCAAAGTAGTTACACCTAGTTTTAAAGCTACTTTTATGTCACGCTGTAAAACAATAAAATACTTATAGACTTTTTACTTTCCTGTTTATTCTTTAAGAGATAAACCTCTCTGCAGAGGCTACCCTAAAGGCAAATTGAATGAATTGCCCTCCACCTCTGTCTGTGACCAGAAATAACACAAACACTGATACTAACAGCATATAATGTTAATTATACCCAAGGAGACTTCCTCTCCCTCTTTTTCTCCACAGGAATATATTACAACTGAGACTGAAAATGTTTCCCCTTTTAACTCCCTTTCCCTTCTTTTCCATCCGATGGACTTAAATTGCATCAGCTTCATCTGTGGGAAGAAAACAGCTCCTCGTTCCATTGATTTCTCAGTCTGGGTCTGTTTTGGTAGAAATAAAGAGTAAATCTGTGTGAGAGTAAAGTAATGGTGAGCTTATGGGAGCTGATGGCCTCCATACTCCATCAAAGAAGCTGAATGAAACTCTTTACCCTGGACGCCTGACTGGATTAAATTCCTCCGTCTCATTCACAGGGATCGGGCGGCACCAACACCTTCCCTCAGACGCACCCAAGCAATACTTTACACCGCACGCTTCACAATACACACCGAAGAAACGCCAAATCCTCTCTGCGAGGCTTCAATCAGCCTGTAATGTCTGTTTCCGGAACCATCACTGACCTTTCAAAGCCACTGATATGGTGGTCAGCGGTATCAAAGCCTATATCCTCCCTTCAATGGACACCACCTCTTTTTGTTTTGTTTCTTTATACTCAGTCATCTCACTTCGGTCGGGAGCGCCGAACGAATGCAACATTAGATGGGCTAAAAGGACGACACCACCGGGAGCCGCCATTGTTACCGTATCATAGTAACGGCTAACGGCTGTCAGCAGCAGCCACTCTCACGGAGAAATGTAATGTGCAGACGGAGATGTAATGGCTGCGGTTACGTTGGGGGAAATGGCATAAATGACATAAAAATATGTTTGTTTTTTTTGCCTCGTTTAGCTCTCGGCACATTTGAATCGCTAACTCCATCAACCGTCGCCTCACGCGCACGCCTACCATACGGGGAGAACCCCGTCTCCATAGCAACGTAAACAACATGTCTAAACTAGGTTCAAAAATATTTGTACTAAACCTAAAGGGGAAATAAATATTGTAACTTATATTAAATAATTTTCTTCTTCAAAATAAATAAATAAAATCAGTGTAGGCAAGCTCCTCAGTGTTGCGTTGAAACCTCTGAAAATACTATTGATGTAAACACTTTATGTGTTAATAAGGTCACATTAAATACCTTAAATTGGGCTGTGAATACATAAAAGTTACATAAACATTACTTTCCTGAAGTGCTTTCAACAATCACATGTGCATGTGAGATTGCTTTAGGATAAATTTCAATTGATGGGGATCCTGTCTCTGAAAAACTAGATTCTGTCCAAACATTTTGCCAAGAGGGCCAAAATCATCAAGCTAAAAGTTATTTGGGGCCACAAAAGTCATTTCTTTTAAAAAAAAAAATAAAATAAAATTGTTGCCTTCTTGTTTTCATCTGCTCAATAATAAGCTAAACATGCAAAATTGTTTTGAACCAAACAAAATAGTCAGGTTTTCGTAATGAATTAGAAATCTGAAACACATAACATGGCTGGAATGATTGTAATTATGACTTTAAAGTTAGGATGAATGTAGAAACCAGGTTCATAAATGAGGATTACTTTGTGCATTGAAATTTTTTTTATTTATTTTAAGATTTGGTTTGTGAAAATGCCATCCAGATAAAATGTTGCTGAAATGCACCTGTGATAGTGAGTTAAATTTATTGTAGTTAGGGGTCACTCAAAATCAATCTGAGGGACACAAATGGCCCCTAAGCTGCATTTTGGACATCCCTGCCTTATACAAACTTCCAGAAAACTGCACAACTGCTGAAACACTGCATTTCTTTAAATCAAGGCTATAAAACTCACTTGTTTCTACTGCCTTTGATTAAAAACAACTGGAACAGTAACATATATTTGATAGTTATTATTCTTGATTATTTTGATGATGGAATTTGACAAAATGTAATGTCTGTTGCTTGTTTTGTAATTGGTTAGCAAAATTTTTAATTATTGTGGATTTTTTAAATAAACCACAAATTACACATACAAGCTCAAATATATATACTCAGAAACATTTTTCTGGTTTCTTTGTTTTATTCTTTTGTTTCGTTTAAAGGATATCACACAATATTTTTTCCCTTTAATCCTATATTCCTATTACACTCCTGCAAGTTTTTGTCTGTTCAATCCAAGTCTTTTATCGCTCTTCTCTCACTCACTCTGCAGGACAAGAACAGACTTGGAGCTGGAGACTGAAACTCTGGGTAACAATGCCACAGCATGCCAGCAGTTCATATCTGATCAAACACAAAAATAAGAGAAATACAGAGTAAAGCTAATCTTAGAAATGTGTTGGACATGCTGGGTGTCAAGAAAACAAGAAGTGTTGTTTTTGATAGAAAATAAAAAATAGAGGAACAAGTAGAAGTTGTGAAAGCCAGTTAGAGCTACTGTAGATAAAAAAGGAGAAAATCGTACATTTCCACCAAAAATGCTCAGAAAATTTAGATTAATCTCAGAAAACTTCTAGAAAAGCTAGAAAATCTTAGAAAATCTCTGAGTTTGAAAAGTCAAAAATGTACAAGAAAAAAGTTGAAATATACAAATCTAAGAAATGTTTAGATTAATTTCATAAATTTTCTAGAAAAATACAAGAAAATTTCTGAACTCCGAAAGTTGAAAATTTGCAAGAAAAAACTTGGAGACCTCACAGTTTGAAAAGTCAAAGATTTGCGAGAAGAAAAAAAATAGAAAGTTTTAGCTTAATCTCAAAAATTGAGAAAAAACTTGGAAATATTTGGGCTTCAAATGTCAAAAAATATGCAAGAAATTCACAGAAATGTTGCTTAAAAAAGGACATTTCAGAGTCTGAAAATGTGAAAGTTTCCAAGAAAAACATTAATACATTTTAAGAGTACTTTGAGAGATTTTCTAGAAAAAGTTTTTAGAGAAATTCAACCTTTGAAACTCAGAAATTTCCAGGTGTGTGGGGGCAGGGGAGGTTCTAGAAAATTTGTGAGATTAATCTAAAAAAATTCTCACAAATTTCCCTGATTTTTTTTTCTTTTCTTTCTTCTTCTAGAAAACATTCTGAGATTAATCAAAAAATTAAAAAAAAATTTCTAGACATTTTTCGACTTTTCAAACTTAGAAATACACATTTTTTAAGGAAAATTTCTGGGATTAATCTAAAATATTTGGCGGTTTTAGGCAAAAATTTACGTTTTTTTCAATCTACACTTTTCCCAATTCCACCGTATTTGTAGGTAATTGCTGCATTAGATTAGATGCATTAGATTTAACAACAAGCTAAATTCCCCATAGTTGTGCTCTAAATGATAAATCAGGCTCAGGAAAAACATAACAATAACTGTGCCCTATTACTTGGATTAATGAACAGCCTGTCCTCGTCTGCCCTCAGATAATTCCCACACATTCATCAAATCTCCAGGGCATGGATTCCACTAATTCCAGCAGCATTACCATAATAGGATCTAGTTTTATGAGCAGGTGTGACAATCGCTTGTATATTAAATAGCATTTTTCTCAGTTACTGTACACATGCTGACAGCTTTGGATCAGCATCCATGTCCAAATAGGCAGATGAGGGATTCATCTCTGCTGTGGAGCCATGAAACCTCCCTGTTCCTCCTCTAGCCAAACCTGAACTCTGCATTTTATCTTCTCCACAGGGACACAGACCCGTTTTCAATCATAACTCTGACCTCAGACACCCGTGTGTGTGTGTGTGTGTTTTTCTCCACTCAGCGTGGGGCGTACACTCCACTCCATTCCACCACCCATGCTGGCTAATCCCTGGATCCTGTGAGTAGGACCATGATTTGTGGGACGGTGTTGCCAGGGGGAAGGTGGTAGCGGTGGTGACGCTCGGATCCTGTTGGAAATGACAGCTGAGGAAGGCGGATTGGAGCTCGGGGACCAGAAAAGCAGCAGAGGCAGGAGATAGCGAAGAAAGTGCCGCACTTCGCCGTTTTCAAAGGGTGTGTTTGTGTGTGCTGGAGAGCAGCTTTTAGCCTCTCGGCTAATCATTTGTCATGGATCAGTGTGTGCATGTGTGCGTGTGTGTGTGTCGTCTTGAAGCTAAACGAAGTCGTGTGTGCGTGTGGGGATACACGCATCTGTATGTGACTGTGGATGTGTGTTTGTTTGCTAACATGTCAAATCTAACATGTTAGCTATAGTGCTAATTTACCAAAGCTAGTTGGCTAATATCCTAAATTAGCTCTTTCTGGGTGCCGCCTGAATGCAACATGTCCAGCTGTGTGTTAGAGATATTGTAGCTATTTTAGCACCCTTGCTACAACAGTTCAAGATAATTTCTTATATGAAAGGTGTATTAGGTGTCAACTGTTGGACAGCAAGGTAGGCTAATTTTGTTGGCTAATAGCTTAGCAGCTGGCTCGCTAATTGACCCAGTTTAAAGGGGCAGAGGCCGTGTTGGCGTTCCAACGCGACACAAACTTTGTTTACAACTTTTCTCCCCCGCCCTTAATTATTTTGTTACACTTTTCAACAACAGTTTCCCATTTCAGACCCAACACCCTGTTTCAACTCTGAACCTTCACGTAAAAGTTTTCGTTCTGCTACGTAAAATGTTTTTGGACTCGTTTAGCTCTGGGTACATTTAATCCGCTAACTCCATCAACCGTCGCCTCACGTGCCCGTCTACGCTGCAGGGAGAATTCACGTTGCCATAGCAACGTCAACAAAATATGTAAACCAGGTTGAAGACGTGTAGATTATCCATTACATATTGTATTAATCCCAGAGAGAAAGTAAATGTTGCTGTAATTTTTATATAATATATGGAGTCATTGTACATGCTGATGGCTGTGGGCAGGAACCATCTACTGTAGCGGTCTGTGTTACAGTGTATCGGAAGAAACCTCTGACTGAAGACACTGTTGTCAAAATTTAAAATTTTTAAAAATCCTTAAATGGAACATTTTTTATGATAGATTTATTAACGACAAGCCTAAAGAGATGTATGTAAAAACTATTTATTTTAAAATATAATCTTATAACAAATTTTAAATTATGCAAAGATCATGTTGAGGTGAATTGAAATCACAGAGCTGGTTCATTGTTCCTTTGTTTCATTAACTCAATTCGAGATATTAAGTAAAGTACAGCCTTAGTTGTACTTTAGTAATTATGCCAACTCCAAATTCACTTTCTCTGAAATGTAGATGATCTTATAAGATTAAGAAATAGTTTTTATTCAGAATTTTTTTATTCAGAGGCCTGATTTTCTAAGCTTCTTATGGTTTAGAAAATCATACGGAAGAAAGCTAATTCTCCACAAAGAGGATAATCCACACAGTCTATAGTGCTGTAACCAAGCATATTTACAGAAAGTTTAGTGGAGGGAAAAAGGTGGTAGAAAATGTTGCACAAGCGATACCTGCATAATTGTAAACAAATCACTGACTGCCTGTAGAAAATACAAAATTCTGGTGTAATAAATGCATTTATGCTCAAAAAATTGACATTAGTTTGACCTTTTTATATTGCCTTGAAACTTTCACAAAGTGGTCTTTCCTTAATGTTCTACTCATGGTTGCTCTTTGCCTGTTTTTCATATAAAAGTTTATTAATGTTACAAAACTATAATTTTGCCAGTACCGTAACTTCAAATACAGGGAGCCCAGACTCACTAATACTCATTCGCAGTTAAAATGCTGGGATTCAAGCTCAAACTGGAACCATTAAAATTAAACCAAACCACCAAGTCTGCAAAAATCTTCCCACATTCTACTAAAAAATGAACTATAATAGATGGACAATGTCAAAATAGGCTTAAAATTATTATTGTTTAACACATTGTTGACAAGGTTGAGTTGTTTAAAGAAACAGAGCCTTGTATAAATGTCACAAAACTTTGTTATGTTCATTTTTCCTTTGGTTTAATGTGTTATGATTCTCTGTTCTTCTGCACCAACAACCCTCAGAGTCTCATGATTAACACCAGGCAGCACATAACAAGTCAAAACAATCAAAGCTCTTTATTTAGATAGAGGGAAATTCATTGTGTTATTTTGGTACATGGAAACTCTCAGAAACTGTAACTATTCAGGTGGAGTCAAAACCTTTCTTTTAATTACTTAAAATAAGTAAAAAGGCATAAATAAAAACTGTACGTAGTGGGTTGAACTCTTTTTTTTTAAACAAAGCTTCCTGTTTTTCTTCTTCGGTCCTCAGGGTTGCTGAGATGGAGTCGCTGATGAACGCGGTGACGCCGCGCTCTCCGGCCCCCGTTAAGAAGCTGTCTGAGGTGGACTTCCGCTCAGGGGCCACCCTGGAGCAGCTGTCGGCCCAGGTGTCGGAGCTGGTGCTGCTGGAGCAGGGGGAGTTTGGAGACCAGACCGCCTTAGAGGTCCACACTGCCAAGGACTTCATCTTCAACATGCTCGGTAAAAGAAACATTTATTTCTCTTATGTAACTTTTACACATTTGTTGAAAGTGTCACCATGTCGTGGCATTATGAGACGAATAATCTACCTTCTCCCAATGCTAACTGGAAACAACCAATCAGAGGCAGGAGGCAGGTCTTGGTGTTGTCAATCATGCCATATGCGTGCTGCTCACACTCTCCCAGTTGCTCTCCCCATCAGCATAGCCTGTTGTGAATGCTGAGGCTATTTAGCATGGCCACCACCAGTGATGGCAAATAAATGTTTCTCCTTTAGCAGTAAGATGTTTTTCCGCCTTTAAACGTGTATCTGCGCGTTCATCAGGTTGATTGACGGCGCTAAGACCCGCCTCCTGGCTCTGATTGGCTGTTTCTGGTGCATTTCTTCAGATGACAATAGCAGCTCAGGGAGGACATGGAGGAGATCGATCTTTTCACATATTACCTGTCTCATATCAAACTGTTACAAAATGAAGACAGTTTCAATAAATATGTAAAAAAATCTATTTTTAATAAAAGTTGCATAGTGCAGCTTTAAGGTCAGATAATCGATAAGGACTCACCGTAGTTTTTAGGGCAATGCGTCCTCTTGGTTAATTACGTAGTTTTTAATCAATCAAGTTTATTTGTGTAGCACATTTCAACAACAAGGCACTTCAAAGTGCTTTACATCATAAAATCACAAAAAATCAATAGTTGAAACATTACATTTTTCCAAGTCATTACACATCAAAATGTTAGCTGTATAAATCCTTGCAAACAGTTTCTCATGTGATTATTGGCTTTTTCTGGTAAATTTGAGAACAAATCTGATTGAAACTTGGTGAGGCTCAGATACTAATCACTCTGACTAATCTTCAGGTTTTTACCTTCCTACTCCATAGTGGCAGGTTAAGCTTTGGTTATTCTTGTCCAGCCTTGTTTGCTACAGTTTTAAGTTGTTTTAAAATATTCAGTTATTGCTTTGCATGTGTCATGTCTAGGTTGGTACGTATCTTTTGGGGTAGCCACATTGTGACTGGTTGAATATTAAAACCATTCAAATAACAGCAGGAATGTAAACAACTTACTGAGCTGCTGGGAGGAAGGATCTGTGGTAACGCTCCTTTGTGCACCTGGGATGCAATAGTCACTGAAGGAGCTTTCCAGTTCTTTTTTTTTGTGCTAAATTAAGAAATCATGTCAAAATGCTTTGGTGAAATTACATTTTTGTAATTGTTTCAGCCCATAGAGATAAACATCATCCCTCCAGATATGGGTTGGGTTAGCAGTTCTGTGAAGAAATAACCCGTCATTAGCTTTAATCAGTCCAGTCTGCAGCGTTTCTCTCTGGTTTTCCATTTCGCAGCTGGAACACGGTTAGGTCGGGTTCCCAGATTCACTCTCTGGCTCCAGAGGTAAATAAATCGGCACCGGTTCTGTTCTGTGAGTTCTGGAAATGTTCTCCGCTGCATTTCTGATTTGAATCGTTTCTATGGGAAGAAAATATTCAGCGAGCCAGAACAAGTCGTCTCTTTTTCTGTTTCTGCTTGTTATTGGTTGTAGCTTGTGCCACCACAATGTTGCAGCTGTAGAAGTGTGTATTTGGTCATAAGGTTTACAGTGTTGTATTTATTTTTCCAGGTTTATTAGGAATTTGTTTTAGTTTACTGTGACGAATAGGGGAGCTTTGCTGCTCTGCTTTTTCTAGGATCATTTGAAACGTTTTGCAGACAGATGACAAAGTGGTTGTCAGAGTAGATACAGTAAAAGGAAACGAGTTATCCTTCATTGGCCCATTTTTTTATTTGATGTAGGAGTATCTGTATCTGAGATAAACACACCTGGATAAGTTGGATAAATAAATATAAAGTTAAACCCAGTAACCCTCGTATATAGATTGTGTTGATTTGAATCTACTCTGCAAACTTTGCTGTAAACCTAGTTTTAGCTTTTAGCTGCAAGTTAAAAACAAAAGATGACATATGAAAGTGTGTCCAACAGGTGGCACTGTTTCTCCTTTCTGTCTTCTAACGCTCATCTTCCTGGCCTCTCTCGTTGGTGTTGATATAAACCAGTTAAACATTAAAAGACGGCTTGTTTAGAAGCCGTTTTTCATGCTCAGTGTTTCCGTATCTTATTAGCCGGTTTTCCTCTGCAGTTTGCTGGTTGATGGATCGCTCTTCTTCTCTCTTCCTCGCCTCACCCAGTGAGAAACGGCACAAATCAAACTGGGATACAGCCTCTCCTTTCTCATCTTCTTGCCGCCGCACGCAGACACACATCACTCCCTTCCCCCTGCAGGAGCCTCTTTGCTGCTCCCGTCGTTTTTTTGAACATCTCCTGATGGCTCCTTTAGGTCTTGCAGGCGGCTCAATCACCAGCGGCTCACCGGTGCGAAGGAGGGAACAAATAAAAGTTTGACACTTTGAACAGTTGGAAAGTTTGCGTTTAGATTCTGGGCTTGTAAAGCTGAACGTGCGGCGGCTTCGATGAAAGGAAGCAGATATCGTCCTGATCTGGGGGAGTCGTATTTCGGCGCGCTGGGCTGCTCTTTTCTAAAGTTTGAGCTGCAGACGGATTCTCACTTGGGCTGTCAAGGAAAAGGCAGGAGAGGAGATTAAACTCGCAAACAGACAGTGATTTTCCTCACAGCCTGACAGATTCTCATGCTCTTATTTACCTCATGTTTGGGTAAACAATTCGGTCTGCCTTCTGGGGGCTACTGTATAAATCTTTTAAGATGAAAAAGAAGAAGAAACGGATCCCCACTGGTGGAAGAACGAGGAGGAGTTCAAAGGTCATCCTCTCTCTGATCTACGGGAAGACTGCTGCTTTCGATCGGATCTTCAGAAGTCATGAACATCTTTCTGTTTGGGTCCAGAGATGGACGTTTGTATATAAAAAAAAAAAAAAAACAGATTAAAAGCTTAAACTGCACTGCAAGGAGATCCAGACATGTCCAGAGGGATTTCCTCTTTCTTCTTTACAGCAGATTTAAACTAAAAATCAAAATCAGCTGAAACAAAAATCAACTTCTGTGATTTTTTTTTTTCTACTCCCAGTGAGGCAAATTCACAGGTTAAAATGTGATTAGTTGTGAAGAAGGTGAATTAAAGATAACAAATTCAGAAAACTGAAGAAAAATACAGCTGGAACTTTAACGTGTTAATTCCATTTAATTAATTACATTGATTTTAACGCATTTTTGTTTTTACATACAAAAGTTCTGAGTGGAACCTTTGTGTTCATGTTTCTGGTACGCCCGTAAATCTGACGCACAAGCGACATCCACAAACAATGATGGACGACAGAGCCACTTTTCATGCTTTAAGAAACAATAACCTAGGTAAAAGATTAAAAAGAATAAACATATTTATTGTTCTTGAGCTCATATGTCTTTTTATTCAGTAATGTAGCAACAAAATGTTGCTTATTTTATAGATATACAGAATCCTCAGCTTGTACAGTTCTCTGCAGACCCCACACATTCTGGACACAAACTGTTTAGACTTTTCCTTTCAGGTCGGCTTCCACAGAAACAGTTTTAGCATATTTGTACTGTTAGAACTTGTAGTTTTTATTTTTTTTATATGTAAAATAATGGCTCTACATACACATAAATGCTTTTTCCTTTTGTCCTTTTTACGCTTGAAACTAAATCCTTTGATTGTTCACACAATGTTGGCCAAAAAAGCTGATTTGGATTCTGAACCAGCCCAAAATGGCAACTAAAAAGGACATTTTTAAATGTTTAATTAATTTCATTTACTCCAAATCAATTTGAACCTTGATTTAAATCATTAAAAGACGATAATTATGATGAGTGGATGCCAATTAGAGCTTCTTAGTCTGTGCAGAATGACCCGACCGCTGCTGAATATTTCACCTCATTTAAAGGAAAAAGTCATTTTTTTATTCCAGATTTTCTCCCTTCATGGAGGCGTCTTTCTGATCCAGATGTTCTGCGTCTCGGGCGTCGAGGGGCCGGGCGCCAGAAACCAGCCTCCGCTTTATTATCGCACGCCCAACTAACCCTCCGTTAGCGCCGTTTCCGATTTGGGAGCACATCTTTGCTCGGCAGCTGGGACCAGAAGACGAATCAAAATCCTCGTTTGATCAGCCGCTCTTTGTTTGTGCTACAATTTTCATCAGCTCAGACGCGGAGCCCAATCGGAGCCAACGCTGTTGTTTGGCTGACAGCGGCGTTGAGTCTTTACGGTTGGGGAAGCCGGCGTGTCGGCGAATCTCCCAGCAGATGCTGATGAGTTCGCAGCCTCCTGCTGCAGATTGCACAGCTGTCTCTGATTGAAACGGCGAGCAGAGTCTCCGTGGCTCAAGGCGGAAGATGTCACATCTGATCCGTCGTTTTAGGAGTCTTCTCGGCTCCTAATTGAACATGACTGGGGTTTTGACACCGCATGACATCGTTTGACAGAGTCTTCAATTAGACGATTAAGGGTTTAAAAATCTCCAAGTGTTCCTGCGGCAGCAAGTGAAACGATTAGCCACTGTCAGAGGATGACGGGGCCGTCTGACCTTTTGTCTGAGTGTTCATGAAAAATCCTCATCTGTACCTCAGCTGGAAAATCTAGTTTGGGTCGTCTTCATATTGACTCATAAACTGTTGATTTTCTCTGAACATTTTCCAATAAGTTGTTGTTTTTACAACTGGGAGAAGCTGATTAGGAAAGCCAGAGGATTTGGAGGTTTTATGGATGCAGAGCAGAGACAGAAAGAGGAAAGGATGATATCCCCAACTCAACATCTCTCTGTCCAACTCTTTAACCCTACAGATAAATAAAACTAAGGTTTCATTCACACCAGCCATGTTTAATCCACTTTAATCAAACTCCAGTCCGTTTGTCTTTAAAATCTGGTTTATTTGGCGAAGTGCGAACTCTGAGGTGGACCAAACACAAAGTCTGGTCCACCTAAAATCCACCGTCTCTGTTCGATTCAAGTAAACTCTGGTGTGACTTGAATGCCAAACTCCAAAAGCAGGAAGTAGACTACAGCGC